ATATATATATATATATATATATATATATATATATATATATGAAGTTTTGATACAGCTATTTAGATCTATTCTCTCACAAATATCTGTTTAAAAATTTCATATTTTTCGTAAGTTAAGTTAGTACCTCTTATAAAGCAAACGATAATATATACTATCTGCAGTAGGATCCCATAGTTTTGTTGTCAGGATAATACACAATCTCGTCCGATAACAAGAGGTACATTATTTCTAATTTCCACAGCTACATATCAGTCTTAAAGTAAGATGTCATTAATAAGATGTAGTTCAAATCTTCTTAGCGGAAGACCGTTTCAACTAACCCTCGTTAGCAAGGTGTGTTACTAACAGTAACTCTAATGTTCTTAGCAGAAGACCGTTTCAACTAACCCTCGTTAGCAAGGTGTGTTACTAACAGTAAATCTAACCTTCTTAGCGGAAAGTCGTTTCAAGTAATCCTTTCAGTAATAGAATGTATTATTAATAGTAAATCTAATTTCCTTAGCAAGTTAGCAGGGTGTAATATTTCCGACATGATTGAACCTTACTGATTTATGCCGTAAAGTTGAGTGTGCACAACCTGAAGCACAATGTCCCATAACCTATTCCAAGTGTCTTATTGTACATTACAGAACGATGACGGCCCTCCCGGATTGGCTTTACTACGTCAGTTATGGCATCATTTACCGCTACGCTGGAGCTTTTCTCAACGAGAACGAGTTTGACGGCAACGGCTTATTAGAAAACACTCCTTCAGTGAACGGCAGTGTAAAGATATCTTGTCAAGGGAACAACTTATCGGGCCATTGTTTCTATCTGAACGGAAATCACTATCTCACCACTAGGTACAACTACGGTAAGGGCACCTACAATGAAGACCTTCAGTACTGGCTCAACTTTGGAATGTGTTTCGTTTTCGTCGGTGGAATGTGGTTGGTCAACACCATCGTGTATTTGATCCCCTTACCCTCCTTTATTAAGAAAAAGTTCCGTGATTAAGTTCCCACACCCCTGCGGTGAGAGGGAAGGGGGAGCTTGTTGAGACCAGCTTTTATAAATGATTTTAATTCTTTTTTTACCGATATTTAATACAAAAGCAATATCTTGGTGAGGCGATACTTTTACCAGACACGTGGAATACGAGTTAGTCTTAACCATCGATGACGTTTCAGTGTCAATCTATCATATCCTGTGCTTCAAAAGTATCTGTATTGTATTCCATGTTCAGAGATTTTACAGATCGCTTTTAAATTGAATATTTATTTTAAGTACGTTAACGTAAATGGTGTAACATTTGATATTTGCTGCCTATTACTTGAAAATTGACTGTATTCTGACATAAATGTTTTTTATATATTTTAGGGTTTAATGTGATAATGCTCCTTGTGTACGAAGGTGTCTCCTCGTATTTTATGTGATAAAGTGATGCTACTTATTCTTTTTAACCAAATTTTCAATAAAATAAGGTATTACACAGTTGTTTCTTAAAATTACTTCTAGTAACTATTCTGTCACGTAGATGGCGCTACTACTGCTTTTAAAGATTCCGTAATTAAATATCAATTTGTAGCTACCAACAGTACTTCTGAAAGCGATGGTATATTTATGTCAATTCACGAAGAGTGAATTGGTACTCTTCTACGTCTTCCTACACTAGGTCCAACGCTATAATTCGGGTTTCGATACCGTGGTGGGCAGAGCCCATTGTGTAGCTTTGTGCTTAATTACAAACAAAGCTACACTAGGTGTGGTGTATATATCATATCTATTGTTACATCTGGTGATGCAATCCCCCAAATCAAACCATAGACCTTCCAATCTGCAGGCCGTCACGTACAGCCATGTTCCACCTATATGGTGTACTTAAAGTCTTGTAAAACCAGCATATTTTACATAATAATAATAATAGTGTATATAAGTTATGCTCGAATGTTAAATTTATTTTTACTCAGTTAAAATTCTGAAGAATAAAAACTACATACTTGACGTTACCTTAATTATAGCGGAATGTTTGTTTAAACTGAAGCTTCACATTCACTACACCCTACCTCTTGAGGTTAAACTGAAGCTTCACACTCACTGCACCCTACCTCTTGAGGTTAAACTGAAGCTTCACATTCACTACACCCTACCTCTTGAGGTTAAACTGAAGCTTCACACTCACTATACCCTACCTCTTGAGGTTAAACTGAAGCTTCACACTCACTACAACCTACCTTTTGAGGTTAAACTGAAGCTTCACACTCACTACAACCTACCTCTTGAGGTTAAACTGAAGCTTCACACTCACTGCACCCTACCTCTTGAGGTCAAACTGAAGTTTCACACTCACTGCAACCTACCTCTTGAGGTTAAACTGAAGCTTCACACTCACTACAACCTATCTTTTGATGTCAAATTAAAGCCTTACGTTCACTACACCCTATCTCGTGACAGCTTGAGCACAGGATGTGATAAATTACCTTCACTAACAGTACATAATAAGTATTTATATAACATTCGGTTACATTTCTGAATCATAATTTTTGGCTATTTAACAGTGTACGTGTTAAGGTACGTTTAATTTAATGTATGTATTTATTAACAGAAAGTTGTGGTTTAAATTAGGTAAAATGTGATTCAGCAAGACCTTTCCACCCACTACCACCAACTGTTGGAATTGGTCGTCACACTGCTTAGACACACCAACTCGCCCACCCACCCCACCTTTTTCAAATACAATATATTCTCAAATAGTGGCATTAAGTTAACTTTTCATTGTGAAAATTACAATGTAATGGAACTTTAAAGTTTTTTCTTCTTCTTTGAAATCCCTTCTGGTTTACGCACTGTTATCTCGGGAGGAAGGCCTCAAAAGCCAGCAGATTTAACCATCTTACTTGTAGCTATTGTTCATAAGTTATCTCAAGAGGAAGACATTAAACCTTTATAAAACGGTAGTTATCAGCCAAACTAGTGGTTAACTTAGTAACCAGGTAAGCATATTCTATTCAAAACTGAAAGCTCTGAGTTAGCCTGACACAGTTTGAATTTCAATAAAAGATTATTTCCTATTGTTCTCTGGATTTCGGAGCTGGCGAGCAGGGTTCGAATCCATATGACAAAATATTATCCGATCTGGATACTTTACAAGAGTGAAAGTCAGTCTTTTAGCATAAGTGGCGAGTGGTAAGATGCTGTTGACTGGTTGCCTTCCCTCTGGTTCAAAATGATGGACGGTAGCAGAAAGCCTTAATAGTTTTGTTACAAGCACAATCCAAAATCTATTGTTTTAAACTGTAGGTTATTTACTATAAATTTTCAATGAAATTGTCTATTTAGTAGGTTTTATTCATATTTACAGAATTAAGATGAAACTTTATCTTGTGTCACTGTCGGTCTAGCCAAGGATTTTTCTCTTGGGATAGATGACACGTGAGTAAATCGTGATTAATAACTCGTTTTCTCCTCAAACAAGAGGGAATTACCAATAGCCGCAGCTGTAATTAGATCTCAAATCGGTCAAGAGATGGAGCTATGAGCTAAAAGTTTGTACATGAAAAAACAAACAAACTCGAAGCCATTCTATGAGTCGATAACAATAAGGCGTTACACAATAACAGCACAACAACGAAGTATTCTGGTATTGTCAAGATCCATGGTTAAAATGCAAAAGACAAACTCAACAATATCAGTTTGATAATGTCATTAGTGTACTTTAGTCTAAACCACAGTTTGCGTTTTTCCAGATAAGACGAAGAAACCTACATTGTTAACATACATATAATCGGCCTTAATAGTATAACAAGTATGATTCTTTGCGATAACTACCAATTTATGCTACACGTTGCTTTACACTGAGTAACCAAAACACGAGTTGCTTTACTTTTAGCAATCAAAACGTTTCGTTTTACCTCTCTGTAATTGAAACATGCTGTGTACAATTTTATCCCTAAAAGTACTAAAATATAGTGAACATAAAATTTATTAATAGAAAAAGAATGATAGGAAAAGCACCATGGTTTTTGACCCTTCCCGATGCAATATCGTAACAGAGCCATGCTTGTCACTGAATTTCTCTCTCTTACGGTCAACAATGAAGATATAAAACCATTGTACTTAGTGCAAACACTTATATGTTACCTTAATATGTGCCCAAAAATATTGACCAATATATTTCATCTATCTATTTGGTTTAGATTCCTCCATAACATTGTATACTATTTTTTCAGACATAATTGCTAATATCTTAAAACGAACTATCGATTTGGAGGTCAACAAAATAAACGTTAAACATTTTACAGTATCAACTATTTTGTTTTCTTCAAAAGTGTGGGCCCGGCATGGCCATGTGGTTAGGGCGCTCGACTCGCAATCTGAGGGTCGCGGGTTCGAATCCCCGTCCCACCAAACATGCTCGCTCTTGCAGCCATAATGTGACGGTCAATCCCACTATTCGTTGGTAAAAGAGTAGCCCAAGAGTTGGCGGTGGATGGTGATGACTAGCTGCCTTCCTTTCTAGTCTTACACTGCTAAATTAGGGACGGCTAGCGCAGATAGCCCTCGTGTAGCTTTGCACGAAATTCAAAAACAAACATTAAAAGTGTGAGTTAATGACCCTGTACTTAATTTTCATCTATCTTTATAAAAACATGCAAATTTAAGCAGCTTTCGTACAACACATTTCCCAGAAGACCGATAAGTGGAATTTATTATAGCTGTCTTTGTTTCTATGTAGTTCTCTAGATGTAATACCTGTTCAGCCCGCCTGGTTGTATAGCTGTTATGCTGCACGTTGTGCAAGAATGTATCCTTTTTTGGTCGGACAGATGATATCTAGAACTTTGTTTGTTTTGAATTTCGCGCAAAGCTACACGAGGACTATCTGCGCTA